TCTCTCTCTCTCTCTCTCTCTCTCTCTCTCTCTCTCTCTCTCTCTCTCTCTTTACAGCCTTTTAAGAATATAAAATTATTCTCAGTTTGTGAGGCATTCAAGAACAAACTGTAGACTAGACTTGACTCATAGGCCACAGTTCACCTGTACCTGGCAATAGTCACACCCATGGGACTTGATTAGAGAATAAATACCACATGAGAAACTGCCTGCTGACTTGGTCACACAATACCTAGCATTTGAAACCTACGGCTATCTGCCCACTGCAGTCTGCTTCACTTCACAAAGAGCTGAAACGAGGGAACTGACTGACGGAGGACACTAAACCGGTTGAAGATACAACCAGAGCTCAAGAACACCAAGTCCTCCAAGGCTTGGTCCCGAGAAAATCTCCTTTCTTGATCTCTAAAAATGAAAGCCAAAATAGCACTGGCACCATGAATGCAAACTCACAGACAGGAAAGATATAAAAGGCTGGAGAGATGGCTTAGCAGTTAGGGGCACTTGTGACTCTTGCAGCTCCACCCCAGGCTGTTCACAACAGTCTGGAATTCCAGTTCCAGGAAATTCAATGCCTCCTTCTGGCCTCCACAGGTTCCACACACATGTGGCACAAAGACATACAGAAACAAAAGTAAAAATAAATCTTAAAAAAAATTAAAATAAAGTTAATTTGTCAGTCCACAGAGGAACTGCCTCTAAACAGAGTAACTAAACTAACGTGATTAGGGCACAAGGAGATTCTCAGTAGCCCACAGTACAGATGGGAGGCCATGTGTATCAAGTCAGTCACAGGATGGCTTAGCTCTGAACTCCTTACAGGGATATTCATAATTCACTGTGAATAAGAAGTCATTTTAATAGACTCAATGTCCTGGAGTGAAGGAAGGAAAGAGGAGATATTCAAAGACCAGGAACAGCTGCAGGAGAGTAGAACTGATCAGAAACTTGACTGGAAATCTCCAGCTCCAACTCCTGCCTGTGTGATGGCCAACAGAGCTATCTGCTTCACAGAGACGCCTGGACAGGTAGTTCTCATGGAGGACATCTACACCCACTTCAAAACCAAGCGGTGGGGATGAGATGGCTCAAGAGTAAGGACATTTGCCTCCAAGCCTGACAACCAGAGTTCAATCCTTAGGTTCAACACAGCTTAGGGGGGAAAAAAAAAGGTTCCAACAAGTTGTCTTCTGACTCACACACATCCCAGGAGGCTCCAGAGACAGCTGGTAATATGTGACAAGTTCAATCTCCAGAATCAATATTTAAAAAGCTGGGTATTAGCCAGGCAGTAGTGGTGCACATCTTTGATACCAGCACTTCTCTGAGTTTGAGGCCAGCCTGGTCTACAGAACAAGTTCCAGGACAGCCAGGGTAACATAAAGAAACTCTGTCTCGGAAAAATAAATAAACAAATAAATAAAGCTGGTGTGGTGGCACACTTATAAATCTGGTGCTGAGGAGACGAGATAGGAGGAGCCAGCCTAGGCATTGACAAGTTCCAGGCCAGTGAGAGATTCTGTCTCTACATAAGGTGGACAGTATTCTTAAGAAAGGACATTCAAAATTGTCCTTCCACAAGTACAAATACACATATGTATACACACACACATACACACACGTGCACATGCACAGAGTTTTAGCCCCCCTCCAAAGGAAATACCATTTCATTTCTGGTCTCAATGTTGAGCGCGACAATCTCCCTTTACTCGAGATCTAACCCTTTAGTTATATTTTTATCAAAATATGCTAGGAGGAGCAATGCCCCAGCCACCTGAGAAGTTGAGGGAGGAAAATCACCTAAACCCAGGAGGTCAAGACCAACCTGGGCAAAACAGGACCCTATCTCATTCAAGGCCCCTGAACAAATGCTCAGCTTCATTAAAATATTAATCAAAAATAATAAACCTTCACAAGTTAAAACCCTATCATCAGGGGCAAGCATAAATTTAAAATAAATTAAAGGAATCATTCTCTAAATCCAGAAGTGTCCCTCTCTGGCCAATGTCAATACTGCTGAAGTTTCCTCCCCTCAAGGCCAAACAGACTCAGCTCACTAAGTCCACAGACACAACACAACTTCTCACCTTAAGGACAATGGATAACCAGGCACTACTTATAAGCCTTCCAGGGTTAAAAGTCACCATATGGAAAGTGCCTGCCTGTCTACCTGCCCTTTAAGATTGCTCCTAAAAAACAATCAAGGTCTGATATGATGCATGCCTTTAAGCTTAGCTCTCACGGTAGAGTGAGAGAGATTTCTAAGTTTGAGGCGCCCTACATGGGAAATTTAGGCCAGCCCGGGCTGTATAGTGAAACCAAGTCTCAAAACAAACAAGTCACACACAAAAAACAACAACAAAATAGCCCAAAGAACAACAACACAACAACAATAAAGTTGGGAAATCAGGAGTCCTTAGCATAGTGGTGTAATGGCATCCAGTCCCCAGGACGATCCTTGACACAGGAAGAGTAGGAGTGGCCCAAGCGTATGGGCGCACCTACCTCTCCCGGAGACTACCCAACAACAGGAACCAAACTGGTTCCCGGACTTACTTGAGAACTGATGTCCACATAGAATCAACCACATACATCCTGTGTTCTAGGTCAGATTGGAGACGGCTCCCACTAACGCAGTTCCACTGTCTGTCTCTAAAATACAGCGAATCAGGCAAAGCGCCGTTGATGCCACTCATTTTCCATCGCTACTCCACTAAATGGTCATATAGTGCAGAGCCCTCCTCTCTCAACGGAGCAGGTGCCAGCTCTTTTCTGAAGTTCAGATCAGTCAAATGTCTGGTAATGCTGGGCAGTGGTGGTGCATGCCTTTAATCCCAGGCAGAGACAGGAAATCTCTTAAATTCAAGGCCAACCTGGACTACAGAGCTAGTTCCAGGACAGCCAGGGTACACAGAGAAACCCTGTCTCAAAAGGAAAAGGAAAAGAAAAAAAGAAAAAAAATCCCAAGGTGATTTCATGAAAGGAATTTCCCCCGCAACTACAGGCAATTTTTTATCATACAAATTTAACTGTATAACAAGACTGATTGGCCCAGAAAGAAGTTAAAATCAAATAGTTATAACTATTTAAACTAAAAGCCTTAGGTCATCTAACACAGACATGTATGGGCAGTTTTGTTTTTTAAAGCAAAGTTCTAGCCAGGAGTGTTGGTGCCTTTGATCTCAGCGCTTAGAGACAACAACTTCTAGGCCAGTCAGTGCTACCCAGTGAAGACTCTGCCTCAAAAAAACAATGGATGGATGGATGGATAAATAAGCAGTCTCAAATATATGGGACTGACTCTGAACTCTATGTAGACAATGATGACCCTGAGTCCTTACCTCTCCTGCCTTTGCCTCCCAAGTGCTGAGATTACAGGTACATACCACAACTGGCTCCTTTACTCCAGAACAGTGGCTCTCCAGAGTTCTAGGAAGCACGAAAGCTGGGCATGCAGCACACCTGTAACCCCAGCACATGGGAGGCAGAGGGAGATGGCTGCGTGGACAATAGCAAACCTTATCTAAAGCCAAAACAAAACAGATACAGCTCAATCAATCAGTTTTTCGTTGTTGTTTTTGGGGTTTTTTTTTGGGGGGGGGTGGTTGTTTGTTTTTCAAGACAGGGTTTCTCTGTAGCTTTGGAGCCTCTCCTGGAACTAGCTATTGTAGACCAGGTTGTCCTCAAACTCACAAAGATCCGCCTGCCTCTGCCTCCCCAGTGCTGGGATTAAAGGCATGTGCCACACCCGCCCGGCTCAATCAACCATTTTTTTTTTCCCATAAGGAGCTTTCTCTTCTTGCCCTGGATTATTTTTTAAACTCCAAAATGTAAATGCAGATGTCTACTTATTTTCTATGTCTAAATATTAGGTTATTTCTTTTTTTTTAAACTTTATTTAACTTTATTTCATGCGCATTGGTATAATGATGTCAGATTCTCTTGAACTGGAGTCACAGACAGTTGTGAGCTGCCATGTGCGTGCTGGGAATTGAACCCGGGTCCTCTGGAGGAGCAGTCGGTGCTCTTAACCACTGAGCCATCTCACCAGCCCCTAGGTTATTTCTAGACACAGGAAAGTCCGGAAGGCTTATCTAAAAGGATGATAAACAAGGAGACATCCATACTCACATTCAATGAAACAACCACAGTG